ATATACCATACCATACCATACATCAACCTTAGTAGGATGACTAGAATTAAAAAAGTCAGATAATAACAAGGGTTGGCTGAGATATAGAAAAATTGCTGGTGGAATGTTAAATTGTATATCCACTTTAAAAAAAAAGTCTAGCAGTTTCTCATTTAAACATTGAGTTACCATAAGACACAGGAATTCCCCTCCTAGGGAGATACCCAAGATAAATAAAACATATACCCACACTAAAGCTTGTACACAAATGTTTATAGCAGCATTATTTATAATATTCAAAAGGTTTCCACCAACTGATGAATAAACAAATGTAGTATATCCATACAATGAAATATTATTTGGTCATTAAAAGTAATGATGCATTGATACATGCTATGACACAGATAGACCTTGAGAACATTAGTGGTTGCTTGGGGATGACCAATAAGAGGGAGTGGGGGTCACATCTAGAGGGATGCAGTTTGAGGTGATAAGAATGTTCTAAAATTAACTGTGGTAATTATTGCACGTCTGTGTATATACTAAAAGCAATTAATTCTGTACATTAAGCAGGTGAATTGTATGGTAGATGAATTGAATTTTTAAAAGCTGTTTTTTAAAGCCATTATAGAGAAAGGAAATTGTACATCTTGTAGGTAGAGATCTTTAATAAAAATAAAATACTTTTTGTGAAAACCCACATAATGGTGTTAGGATATATTCAATTTTATTTATATATTTATAAAGGATTTCATACCCAAAATGTGTATGTTAGTCTATAACTTATGTATAGGGTTCTGTAGCAGAGCCTATGCTCCATTACTCTATCCTCTGTTTTGAGTGTAGAACTCAATGCAGGAAAGATACAGAACTCTGCTTTTCTAATACTGCATAAATATTTCTTAAGTGAATTGAAGTGACCCGGGAGAGGCAATGTAAAGTGCTCTTTGCTTTAAGTTATTGACCTTTCTTACTTTTTATTCATCCTCTGAAAAGAAACAAAAACAGGAAGGATTAATGCCTCTATTAAGCTTGTCTGCTTCTCCATTACCACCTCTTTCAGAATTGAATACTATCATTTCTTCTCAGAGATCTTTCTATCTAACTGTATCACAGCATTTATTACACCCTGAATCATTTTCTTGTTTTCAAATGCTTGTTATCTCCACAAGACGATAAGTACCTTGTGTTCAGAAATTATGTTTATTTATCCTTATTTTACCACAATTACAGACTTTCACTAAATTTCTGCAGAAGGAATGAAAATTTTACATTTATGCATTCTAGAACATGAGCTTCTCTAGTAACTATAACATGAAATCATAAAAATTTAGAGTTGAAAGAAATCTTAGAAAACATTTGGTCTAAATAGATCAATAATTATAAGAAAACTTTCCATAGCATTTCTTAAAAACACTTTATTCAAACCACTATTTGAATATTTCTAATGCCATGGAATCTACTGCCTCACAAAGTAATGTATTGCATTTTCAACTAGCTTTTATTGTTGAAAGGTTCATCGTTAATGTTAAAATTTAAACTTGTAGCTTCTTCCCTTTGGTTGGTCTAAGATCTGTCACATATGGCTATGCATTATCTAATTTATCTTCCATGGCAGCATATTAATTATTTAAAGACACTATAACAATACCCCTTGTTTTCTCTGTGCCAGGATTTCCACTTTATTCAAATGTTTCTCATAGACAGAGTTTCTGGACCTTTTACCATATGGATGCAGCTCTAGTGGACATCTCCAGATTTTTAATATCCCCTTTAATTTATACTTCCTGGAGATAGAACCCAATACATGTGATTGGTGTCAAGTACAAAAATGCCTTTTCCTTCTTTAATATGTACCTTGGGCTTTGTTAATGGGCCTAATACTATATGACTTATTTTGAAAGCCATATCATACCAGTCTTCCACTGTGCTTGCCGTAAACTGAACTCTTCTGACTTTTTTTCCATACAAGAATCCTGTAAAATCAGAGTTCTTTAGTTCTTAAACTTTCAATTAATCTTTTCGACCTTCATATAAGATTTCTATATTGATTTATGAAATAAACAAAAAGCCCTACACAAACCAGGTGCTTAGCAAATGTCTGTACCTCCTTTTCACAGCACTTATTATAGAAGTAATGTGTTTATTATTTGATTATTTGAGAGGAGGGCCCATCTATATCACTAGTCATCACTATATTCCATATTCTCCTCACTTAGCAAAGTAGCTAGCATAGAGTAATTGCTCAAGAATTTTCATAATTGTTTGACTGCATTGCCATGATGCTGAAAACAACAGTGAATTCAGAGAACTGATTTGGTTGCATTAGCAGTCAATTCAGCCAAAACAATTGAGTGACCACATAGTGACAACGTTTGAAATAATCTTCTTAATAATAAATCTATTATGGTCAGTGCCGTAAAAACCCAAAGCCAGGTTTCCAAAATATGCCCCATCTTATGTAAGAATCTAACCTTTGTGTCAAACAACTAACAATCCCATAACCTGAAGGATTATTACTTTTTACTAAACATAATGACTGTTTATATGCCTAGTTTGTACAATATTCCCTTCTAATTAGTAGTTTCACAATACTGATGTCATTTTTGCCATATGTAATGTTCAAAGGAAAAGGGTAATGTTTTATTTTCCTACTTTTACTAACTCATGAAATTTTGATTTGAGTGTGCATAATTTGTAAGATATGTAATCTTTTCTTGTTTCCTTGATTAGATAAAGGTAAATGCAAAGACAACTAAAAAAATCCTTTTTTTTTTTAGAGTAGAAAAGTGACTGAAAAATAAATCATAGGTACTTCGGAAAAGACAAGTTTCTCTGCAACCTAAAATTTCTAATTAAAATTGAACTGTCCCTGTTTTCTAGTATATGGAGGCTAAAGTTTACCTTTTATACATATACCAACTTGATCGCATCATTTCATAAATTAAGCATGACATTCCAATTGATTTTAGAATTTGAAAAGCTTTTTGTCATTTATGAGAGCTTCATATTTGTGGACAAATAGGCAGACAAACCTCCTGTTCTTTAATAACATAACATTAAGTACTTCTTGGAAACAGGACACAATAGAGAGAAGGACTGTTTATGAGTCAGAGGAACATGTGCTACTGTCAACTTGAATAAGAGGCATCAGATATTTCTAGTGATGAAAACCTTTCAGTGAGGTGAAACAGGCCATGTTCCATTTCTTTTATTTTCAGAGATGAGATGGATTTGAAAACCATAACCTGGCTTCTTGATGCAAGGACTCGCCACATGAGATAATCTCCAGCACATTACTATTGGCAAGCAGATCTTTCACCCTTTTGTCTCCATGCATTACAGAAAACGTTAAATCAGTTTGGTGTCCATATAAACTTTTGATCCTAGGAATAGCCTAGGGTACCATCATTATCTTCCCGAGGACCATGTGTAGGCCTTCAGTAGGTAGTACTAATTTAATCTCTTTGCTAGAGGAAAAAGTAACTGATTTTCTAGATCAATATTTGATTGAATATGTTTGAAATGTTGGCAGATAAAGGCCCCTTTTCTGGTCCAAAGACTTTTTGAACCACAGAGGTATAGCGTTCTAGCTCCCCTGGGATTTGAGTGGAAGGAGGTCTCAAAGATCTGTAAGAAGCCTTCCTGCCTTTCCTTGTGTTCTTCCAGCAAGACTCTCTAAAGGTTGAGATGAGAAAAAGATAAGATCAAGAACTGGAATGTCTTTATTCCATTTTTTTAATCTTTCCTGGGGCTTCTCTTAACTAAAAATAATCGTTTATACCACTAGTTTACAAAAACCTCCTGTAATAGGATGTTAGAAAGAAAGCCCATCTGATCAGCTTTAAGGAGTTAACCCAGTGACTTTGGCAAATAATTTAAGACCTCAGATTCTACCATTCATACCACTAATTAAACAAGAATATCAATATATCACCAACAGGGAGATGAATAAAAATCAAAATGCTAAGGTGTTAGACATATTAGAACTTTAGTTGTCTAGTTATTGATAAGCAAAAGAGTTTTTCACAAATTATACTGATTTTGAAAATGGAAACTGGGAAAAAATTCCATCAAAATGATATTTGACCATGCAAACAGAAAATTTAGTTCAGAAGCACACATTTCACTGTAATCATTATATTTGCTTTTCAAAGTTTTAGTTAAATTAGTAACCCTTCTCCAAAACAAAACATTAAAAAATAGCTTACATCTGACTGAAAAATATTATTCAGAATAAAAGGTGCTAGCAATACTGTTTTCTGAGTCTACACATGAAATTCAAAGAAAGATTCTTGAGGAGAATGTTTTTCTTTAATTTTCTTCTTTGCTGCAGAAATGCACATGCATTCCCTAAGCACAAAAAGAAAAAATTACCCACAAATTCCTTGTACTTTCTTTCTTATCATTGAACTTTTGTTTAGCTGAAGGATAAATTTACTTTCCCCTAGCTACAGACTTTGAACATAGAAGTATTTTTTATAAAGGAGTAGCCACTACATGCAAAGCCAACTGCAACTCCTTGGCAATGTGGACTCTGAAAGACTTATTTTCCACAGTTTAAGCCAAATCACTTCTCTTATTTTGAGGTGAGAAGATTACGGTCATTAAATTTTTTGACAATTTCTCACAGTTTTAATCTATTTTGGTAAAATCTTCTGTTCAAAGTAATGATATTCCCAATATAAACTAACTCTTCAGGGCATTAGATTATATTTCTTACTTAAAATGGTAAAAATTAGCCTGTAAAAAGGGACAGCATTTTTTATATGTTTTATTTTATAACACCTTGCTCAGTGCTTGGCATGGAATAGGTATGCAACAAATACTTAATTATGTAGATAAACTGAATTTTCAAGTTTTCCTTTTAAAGAATAATCATAATTTGAATTAAGTATACCAACTTTCTGTCTGCAATAACATTATGAAATATACAATGCTAAGGTCATTAGCAGTCATAATAAAATATTTCTTCATAGTGCGTATACGTCAATTGAATGTAACATATAAGCTACTGCTATAGGCAGAAGGATCTTAAATGCAAACTCAGATTGCCCTGAATCTTTGATGTAGAATCCTTGCTTCAGGGTCTTCTTGCAACTATAACGTCCCTTGTCAACCAGGCAGCTCTGATTGTTAGTCCTTGAGAGAGTTTCCTTTTTTTTTTTCTCATGACCTAAGAAGAAAGAAAGAAAAAAAATACTCAGGTGAGTTATTGCATGTGAAAATTTAAAGGGATGCCAGCAAGAAATAGAAAGTATTTCATATACTTTTCCTTAATATTATTGTTAATAAATGTATGACTGAATTTCCCAATGTTTCCTGTTCTATAAGTTTCAATTTACACATCTCTTATTATTATCACTGTAATAGAATTTCTTTAATATACTAAGATTTGAGGTTTTATATTTCCTGATAATTTTTCTAACTAAAATGATGGGTACTGGGCTGATATACCTTATTGGTACATGTGAAATCTAACCTGAAAATTCTAATTGTATAATGCACTAATACTGATTACCTATCAGATTCCTGATTCCTTCAGAAATTAGAATTTGTTACCACATGTTTTCACTTATAAGTGGGAGCTAAACAATAGGTACACAAGGACATAAAGATGGAAATAATAAACACTGGGAATTCCAAAAGGGGGAACGGTGAGGGGAGGATGTGGGTTAAAAATTACCCTCAATATTCACTATATGAGTGATGGGTACACTAGAAGCCCAAATCTCACAATTATGCTCTATATCCATTGAACAAACTTTCACATGTACCCCTGAATCTAAAAGAAAAAAAAATAAGAAATTGTGTTTGTGGGTGAGGAGGTGTTATATATCTGTATAATCTTTCCCTACATATTCCTTACATACTCCTTTGCTATATGATCTATAATTTTAGGGAAAGTTGACTCTACTCCTAGTTCCAGGAAAGTCCTGTGGACTTGCTTGAAAACTTTTTCTCTCATGAATTGAAGCAGCATGAAATCCCACTGAAGCTGGAAGCATCATCTCACCACAGTGGGAAGCAGCCATGGGGTGGAGCCCTTCCTGGAACCCAAGAAAACTGACTAGAAAGATAGAAAAGCACTCGAGGCAAGCTGAAGTCTCTGGATCAAGTGGTCCAGAAGTTTGCCCTACCTCTTGATTTTCCTTGCTTGGAAAATCAGTCCTCTTTCTCAGTTAGACATTCCTGAGTTGAGTTTTCTGTTCTTTGCAGCTTTACAGGTGCTAACTGATTCTCTAACTTTTCATTATGTAAATATATTTTCTTTCTTATTTTGTTATTGCCACACAGGATATAAATCATTGATGACAAATCTTATGTTTTGTGTGTGTTTGGGGCAACATAGCTGTGCCCCGAATTCCACTATTTGAATATTTAAACTCCAAATTCATTTTCTCAGTTGAGTTTTTGTTAGTTTTAATATCATAGTCAATACGGAATTACATTTTTAAAACCACCTGTTTAAGACCTGACTGCCTCCCAAGAGGCTCTGAGCCTGGGGATGTTAAGGTTTCATAAAAGATATAGTCCTGATAGAGAAATCCTCTAATGAGAGCAGAAGGTTTAATCTACACCATACATACTCTGTTGAACCACAATAAATCCTTTTACTCAAGCAAAGAGTATAAGCAAAGTAACATTATTTGAACATTATCCTTAAAAATGGATATACATATATATGTATATATGTATACACAATTTTGTTAAGGTACATTTAAAAATATACATACATGTAATTAAACAAAGTGACATGACAAATAGGCATCTTTAAATCATTCCATTAATCACATCATATAAACAATATTTGTATTGATAGGAATCAAGGAAACACTTATCCAAAAAACTGAGTGACTATTACATTTTTTATTTTTAAGTTTCTCAATTTATTTATTTATTTATATTTTTGCTAATAACTGTGTAAGCAACATTAAGAAGACAGATGAATGTTACAAATGAAATTAGCATATGTCTGGCAGCACCGTGATGTACTTGGTATATTTATCATTTGTTTTGATTATTTGGTTTGCATGTTCTTATTTATCCTTACTATAAGAGACAGGATATGGTTAACCACATGACTTTAAGATACAATAAGAAAACACAACAAAAATCTGCCACCTATTTTTCCTGTATCTGTTATCTCTGGAATTCCATTTTGGGGGATGAGAACTCAATGCTCTTAAAATAGAACAAAGATGAATTACAGTGAATAGAATAAATTTACTTCTAGCATTTTTGGTAAAGATATAAATGTAAGACTTACTGCAAAATTTTAGCAAACTGTGATATATCTATAAACTATTCTGTATTTATACACATAAAATATAATGTATTCTAAATAATTTGAAATAGTTTGAAATAAGTCATTCTTTTTCTTGAGATTCATATTCTAGAATAATTATGTTAGTTATCAAAGTAGCTAGGTAAATAATCCTGAGAAACAAAATGCCATAATTCAACATTCCAGGTGTATGTTGCCTATGACTGAGGCATGGTAATTCTCCACTTACCAGAGCAAGAAATTCCCAGGAGCGTGAGGAATAGAGACACAGTTCAACAAGAGCAGAAGAAAAAAACCAGGGGACCCATTCAGGCAAAGTTGGCTTAGAGATTGTGCCCAGTGGGTTAAGCCCTGTGCCCTAGATCCCTTCATTACTCCAGAAAGCACTGCAACCAACGAGTCTAATCATGTAGACAGAGGGCAGTTGCCAGGATGCAAGGAGCAACCTTCCCTAGAGTCGAGCAAAAGAAGCTGGTCATCTGAGAGGTGTCCATCATTTATCCTGGGGATGAAACTTCTGGATACAATCATGGTAGGATGACACCATCTCCATCAATAGATGAGGATTCAGGGCAGGCTTTCAAGCTAATAATAACACAGGAACTGAAGTTAGGTAATACAAGAAAAAACAGACATAAGCCTAATGTCTCAGGAAATCGACCCAAAAAGTATAACACTTTCTCCCAGGAAATTAACACTGCTACTCATAGCATAATGCTGAATGATTTCTCCAAAAACTTCAAATTAAAGGATATTTTAGATAAGAACTTGATGAAACTATATTAATAAAAGCTATGATTGTAGGCTTAAGGAAGCAGAGGATGTAAATTGTGTAATCGTTGTAGTTACCTGCACCCACCTATTATAGACAGAACATGGTATACAGAATAGAGTACAAGTCATAGATTCGGCTTTCCAATCTTAGCTTTTGCCAATAATTGCATTGCTTTGCGAAAGCTAAAGCCAGTATGAGCCACAATTCCCCCATTTATAAAATGAAAATGAGGAATTCAGTCAGGATGATCTCTAGGATCTCTCAAAAATTCCATGCTTTATACATTCCTGGTAGATTTCCTGAAACAATAAGCCTCATCTCTATTTTTTTCTTTTCTCACCTATCTTGTAGTCATGTCACTATTCATTACTATATATAAGCTGATTTTCCTAAATCACTTGTCTTTTAAAGATTAGCAGCTCTCTTACTCTTTCCACAGCATCCTTAAGGAAGTTGATCATATCAAACAGTGATGAGTCACTACGGCAATTCTAAACGAGGAGAAACGGAGCATCCAGCAGCGAAGTTGGATAAGAAATAGTCTCCAAAAGGATAAAAGTAAGCTTGGCAAAATCATTGTTTTGTACCTGCTTCCAATACATTTGCAAAGGGGTGTTAATGAAAAATGAGAGTGATGTTCCCATCACACATTTTTGGATTACTGTGCAGCAACATCAATTGGAAACCTAATGAAACAGAGACCACCTACAGAGGAGGAATACTGTGTTCCTCTGTCTTCCTGCATCCAATTTACCAACGGACTCTAAGGAACAAGCTGCTGGTTTGTTTGCAGCCTTCATACTGATTAGTCATACATTTAACATTGATAATTGGCAGTGCTAGTTTCCACTATCTTTCACCATTAAAAGAACATTGTAAAGCATTACAATTGTGTGGTAATCGTAACAGGTAACAGGCACATTTTCTTCTACCCAGGTGATCTTAAAATTCTAGCACTGATATCATCCCAGGATGGTGGGCTGTTTGAATTAGAATAAGTCCCAGATGAACTAATTGGTTATTCCTTTATTTAATTGTTTCCATTGACTAAGGGAATATGCTATGCATTCATCAAATAGAACTTCTCCTAATCAGGGAAATAGCAATAAGAAACTTAGTAGGTGAGTTCCCACAAAGCATATCAGGGACTACGTAAAGAGCTGATGTTCCAAATGGAAGTGTTCTGTTCTTTGTTTTTGCACCTGTTCAAACTGGCATCTGGTATTAGGCTTGTGACTAGTCAAACATTACTACTTTCTGTCAAGCTGGCTGGGAGAAACAAAAGAAAGAGAATACAGTATAAAATATTAGTTCATCCTTGTGTGTCATTTTGTGACTGCATTTTCCTTGTCAGCCTCCCTCCCTGTACTTATCTTCAAATGAGTTTATTCTTTTTTTTTTTTTTTTTTTTTTTTTTTCAAATTTGAGTTTTAGAAGCCATCTGGCATTCATTCTGATTCCTACATTACAGCTCTCCATAAGTCAGTCTGCTGACTGCCTGTCAGGTTATAGAATTAAGTTTAAGATTTTCCTAATTCATTGTGAGGTTCTTCATGGATTTGATCTATTATATCTTCCTGAGCCTGTCCAGTTGTAGATTCCTGCATGTGATTTATGTCTAACAGGTGTTAGTTTGCTACAGCTTTCTAAATATTGGCTTCACAATGCAAGGGAGGCTTGGGAAGACACTAGAACTCAAAATTGTATTGCTATACAACTGGAGAATGGCCTCCCTGCTGAAATTTAGTGTTGCAGAACTATTTATTAAGCTAAAAAGATTGATGTTTCAATATATGGAAAAGTAAAGAAGCTCAAATTCCATCATCAACTCACCAGTTGAGCCTATATATATGTGGCTCTCAGAATACAGTGTATTATTTAACAGGTGGGACAACTAGGTGAGTTTAAAAATACAAATTTACCCCTTACTATGAATTACTGCAAATTTGAGTGTTTTTTTCTAATGTTTTGCTTTTAAGCTGAATGCCTCTATATAATTTTTGTTTTCCTCGTATAAAGTTAAAATGCCTAATGGAAACCTAGGCATTGTTAGGGAGAGAAAAAGAAAGATTTCTTTTAAAGACTGTATCTAGTAAAGCATTTTAAAATTCATTATTATACTTTTGAAAGATATATATAGCATTGAAGAAAACAGAATAAGAAATGAAGTTAATATAATAATGAATGTCCATATAAGTCTGACACCATTACAAATTTTTATTTCTTATGCTAAATGCATTTTAATAAAATTTCTAGATAGAGATATGGTGAGTTCCATAGTTTTTAGCTTGGGCCATTTGTCTTATCTTTGCATGAATGACATAATACTTAATGTTTATTAAACCCATAAAATCTTTAGCCTCATATTGGTTTTCTGTGTGATATATATAGTGCTCTTTAGTTTTAAGCTACTCTGTGCTTCATATTTATACCTCACTTTAGCTACAGTAAGAAAATTGTTACATTCATATTACAGATGAATAGGCCAAGATACAGGGAGATTAAGGCACTTGCCTGTGGTCACACTGAGAGTTAATCAACATTAAAATGCGCAGCTCTGAGTTCCCAGGCCACTGCTCAGCCTCTGGAGCAGTGCCACTTTGCACTATAAATTGTTTGGATAATTTTAAAAATTTATAATGTGCTCATCAATTTGCATATCTGAGTATGAATTACAAACATTAAAATTGGCTACAACTCCTCATCAACCAATTATTAACAAGAAGCACCTAAAAGGTCAAAGTCATAAAATACCAAAGTAAACAGATATGTGTGCACCTTTTGCTAAGCACCAGCCATACAATCCAACATGTATTCATTATATTTTTGACCTTATGAAACAGTTTAAACCTTGGTTTATTCATTGTAGTTGACCTTGAATTATTAGGAGAAACTAAAGTGATATTTTAAAAAATTGCTTTCATATAATTCAGACATAATATGATCTTTAGCTAACAAATATTTTGGGAGTTACATATAGATGTCAATATTGAGATATCATGTAGTCAATTGGAAATTGGTACTATTAAAAGAAAAAAGTACTATATATTTAAAAAGCTATTCAGCATTATAACATGTATTAAGCACTGACTAAATACATTCTGTTTGAAGAATTTCTTAATTTCTAATGGCATTTCTTCTACGATAAGACATTTTCTACAATTTTATACCTTCAGCTGTTGTTCTCTTTCTTTGTCCCATTATGGTTCAATTGTTTGGCTTCTCACAGCCAGCCTTAATGGGGCAATTAACCATATAGCATTGATGAAAATACTAACTCAGGAAAATTGTCAAAAGAACATAGAAAATTCAGAATCTTTTTTAAAAGGCTAGCTGTCTCACTGAAAACTGTAATTAAAGTATGTGTGATTTTGCTTGTGTGTTTGTTACACAATTCTCCTGGGCTAGAGTTAAAGAAAATGTGGGCCCCTACAGTAGACTGTAATGGGAAAGTACGTTTATTCTCTAGTCAGTGATAATAAAGCATAACTCCTTGGGGAGGGACTTTTTCCCTACGGTATTCGCACTACCTTTCTTTTAAATGCTGCTAAATGTGAAATTAGTGTGTCCCTTAAAGTGCATAAGATTAATTGTTAGTAATTGAAAACAGTTTGGGGGCTAATTATATAAAAATTGATATTAAAAGAATACTACCAGATGGACTGAATTTTACAGTTTGCATTTAGTTTTCAAATTACATGAGTTGAAAGGTAGTGGTAAGAAACAATAAAAATCCATTCAGAGCTGCTAAAGCAAATTAAGGTTTACTAGTCTTTGAAAGACAAATGAGTCAAATGCTGTAATATAGGGAAATCAGTAAAAATGGGTCTAAAATTATAGAATTAAAATATCAAAAATCATAAGCTTGTATGGGTTGACCACATTTTGTGTAGGTGATCTGATTTTCCCTGTATACCTGACTTGTTAAGGTACAGCAAACCAGGAAACTAGGGCCTTTCTTAGAAAAATGTAAGTTATGATAATTTGAAAGAAAGAGAAGGGAAAGGAAGGAAGGAAGGAAGGAAGGAAGGAAGGAAAAAGGAAGGAAGGAAGGATTGGTTTGATATGTTGTGTATGTTTGTCTTCTACAAATGGGTTGAAATGTAATCCCCAATGTTAAAGGTGGGGCCTCATGGGAGGTTTGTGGGTCATGGGGCAGATCCCTTATAAATAGCTTGGTGCCATCCTCACAGTAATGAGTGAGTTCTCTCCTCTACGTTTTCACGTGAGATCTGGTTGTTTAAGAGTCTGAGACTTTCCCATTCTCTCTCTTGCTCCTGCTCATGCCATGTGTAACGCTCACCCCCACTTCACCTTCCACCATGATTGTAAGCTTCCAGAGGCCTTGCCAGGAGCAGATGCCAGCATCGTGCTTTCTGTACAGCCTGTAAAACCATGAGCCAAAACAAACTTCGTTTTCTAAGTTTTGAAGGCGAGTAGGTAATTAGCCAGGTGAACGAGGAAATAATAGTGTTCGAAACAAGAAATCTACCTTTCACCTTCTGGAATTATTCATATATTTCATGAGTTAATCTTAAATTAGGTCTTTTCTGGGTTTCTTTAGAAAGCATTTTATTTATTGATATATTTATTTATTTAGAGACAGAGTCTCACTCTTTCTCCCAGGCTAGAGTGCAGTGGTAAGATCACAGCTCACTGTGGCCTGCATCTCCCAGGCTCAACCAATCCTCCCACTTCAGCCTCTAGAGTAGCTGGAACTAAAGGTGCACATGGAGTCAGTGTCCCACTGTGTTTGCTGCCAAGCTGGTCTCAAACTCCTGGACTCAATCAGTCCTCCTACCTCAACCTC